GATTACTTGGCTGATTGTGATATAAAGGTGATATCTGTTCTAAAGTTAAAATATTCGTTGAGGTATATAGTAGAGGTTGATCCTGATGTGAGGAAAACCATAATTACTCGTGGCTTTTTGTATACCTCTTGGATTGTAACTCTGTTAGTAAGAAATGTGTGAATTGCTGTGTATATAATAATTATATGAAAAGTCATTCTAGAGATTTCAAGCCATATTCAGTCGATCATGCTGCATCAGACAGACAATGCCCATGTTTTTTAAAGAAATATGCTGCATTAAAATCTAGAATTGACTATGGCTAGGCTTAATAACAAAGTTTTAAATATTTCTCATCTCAATGTGCGGTCCTTGACTACTGCTTTCGACTGTTTTTGTGGATTGGTTCGAAACAAATTCGATATTATATGCATTACCGAAACGTGGCTTAATGAAAACATTTCTAGTCAAGCTGTATCTATAGAAGGCTACCAGCTTTTCCCTAGAGATCGTTTGGGTAGGGGTGGAGGGGTTGGCTGCTATATAAGAAATAATTTCAACATTACAGTTATTGATACCCTTGATTTTGTAGGTGACTCTTCCTTAGAATTGCTATGCTGCAAACTCAGCATGAGCAACTCTACCCTACTTATTGTCGTCGTGTATCGCCCTCCTCATACTTCAATTACAGATAGCATTGATACCATTGATGATATGCTTTCTTTCTTCGTACCTCAATATGATAATATAATAATTCTTGGTGACATAAATGTTGACCTTTTGAATCATGACAATCCTTTGAGCAACTGCTTCGATAGCTTCAATTTTGATCAATTAATAAATGAACCGACTCGTGTAACTCAGTTTAGTTCAACTCTAACAGACCCCATTTTTTCTAGCAATTCAATCAGTGTTGTAAAATCAGGAGTTCTTAATGCTGATCTTGTGTCCGACCACAAGTTAGTTTTCTGTGCTGTTGCTCTGAAGCTTCCTAAATTTGAACCCAAGTTAGTAACTTTTAGAGATATAAAAAATATTGATGTTATTAATTATGTTATTAAGTACTTCATGCTGGACTTGATCGTATCTTTTACTTTATGGATGTTGATGACAAAGTAAGCTGTCTATCTAGTTGCATAATACAAATATATGATATGCACGCGCCATTACGAACTGCTCGTGTAAGAAAACCGGCTGCTCCATGGATAACATCGAACCTGAGATGCATCTTTAAGGAACGCGACAAAGCTCTCTTGAATTTCCGTCATGACCCATCTGATGTGAACTGGTCTACGTACAAAGATATGCGGAATTACGCACTTGCTTCCTATCGTAGGGAGAAGAGGGCCTACCTTTCTAGATATGGTGATATTAGTACACGATCAGCATGGAAAACACTTAGATCTATGATTGTCTGTCAACAGAAACGTGTTGATGTACCGTTTATTCTAATAGATCCCCGTGAAGTCAACGAATACTTTTTAAGTACTTTTATGCCTCCCGATCAAAACCTCAAAGTAGTACAATCCACTGTCAACAGCTACAGCAACAGACGCTTCGATCCCGACGTGTCATCATTTCACTTTCGTCTGGTAACCCCTCGTGAAGTTATGAACGGAGTCTTGTCTATCAAGTCTTAAGCAGCGGGTTGTGACGGCATCACTCTAACTATGCCTGAAATACTTGATCACATCACTCATATTATTAATATTTGCTTAGAGAGGGGCGTTTTCCCATCCAACTGGACGGAGGCAATAGTCACACCTCTAGCCAAAAGTAATAATCCGTCTGAACATGCTGATCTTAGACCTATAAGTGGTTTATGTTTCTTGTCGAAAGTCTTGGAGAAGATAGTATACGAACAGCTTGTTGAGTATTTTGCTAATAATAATTTCTTTCCAGTGCACCAATCTGGTTTTCGTGAAGGTCACAGTACGACTACTGCACTACTACATCTTGCAGATGAGATACTTTCCAACCTTGACAACAAATCCGGCACGCTGTTGGTCATGCTTGATTTTTCCAAGGCTTTCGATACGGTCAATCATGAGATTCTTTTGAGTAAGCTAAAATATTATGGCATGTCGGAAGTTCCTTTGAATTTCTTCAGATCGTACCTAACTGATCGCACCCAAAGAGTGAAAACATTTAGAGGAACTTCTGATGCACGGTATCTGTCATCAGGAGTTCCATAGGGTTCAGTACTGGGACCTCTTTTATTCCTAGTATACACATTCGATCTGCATGAGTGTGTAGAACATTGTTGCATTCAAATGTATGCTGACGATACACAGCTAACATTTCGTTTCAATGAATCCAACTTACATGAAGCATCCTATAAGATTAACCTAGATTTTGATAACGTATTAACGTATTGCAATAGGCACTGTCTCCGCATCGATCCATCAAAATGCACCGCGATACCATATTGTCCTAGACATTCAAATTAACAACATCACAAATCGAGTCTCCTTATTTATCAACGACATAGATATTCCATTTTGTGATAATGCTAAGAATCTAGGTGTTATATTTGATTCAAATCTTCGATTTAACTTACATGTGATTAATATTATGAAGTCGAGTTATATGAAGATGAATCTTTTATATTCTAGTCGCCATATTCTAAACTTAAAGTGCCGTAAAAAGTTGTGAAAGCCTATATTATCAATATTAGCTTACTCTCTAGTCCTCATTTACCCATGCCTAGACTCAGCTTGCAAGTCAAAATTGCAGAAGCTTCAAAACAACTGTTGCAGATTCATATCTGGGCTTAGGAAGTACAGTAGCGTTTCTTCAAAAATCAAGGAGTTACAGTGGCTCAGAGTGGACGGCTTATACAACTACTCTATGGTTTCATTGGTGCATAGAATTTTTAAAAGTGGTAAACCCGTCTATTTGCTCTGTAAGTTGATTCCTCGTGGAAACCAAATTACTCTAAATCTGCGGCACAATGATCTACTTTCCATTCCTATACATCGTACGTCGCTCTTTGAAAGGTCCTTTACTTATAATGCCGTCAAGGTATACAATTCTTTACCAGCAGCTATCTCTAAGAGCTTAAGTTTGCAGCGCTTCAAGACAATCAAGTTGCACTTGCTGGACTCAGCACATTGAGTGATAAATTTATTTTGTTGAACGATATCTTGTTCTTTTGTTTCTTTTCTTTGTATATGTTCATATTATATATTTACTTTTTTTAATTTAATGCATTCCTTACAGCTACTGATTCATGTTGTTATGCTAACGTTTTGTGATGTCTGGTTGTAGTATGGTTGAGTGGTAGAGTAGCCATGGCTAAACTTCGCCATACTATGATCATCTTCTGAATAAAGCCATTATTATTATTATTATTATTATTATTATTATTAATTTAATCAAATCCATGTCTAACTTGGCTGGGCTATTGCTGCGACACGCCACGCTACCTGAGTCGCTCTTCATGTCAACTTTCACTTTGAACTATCACTGGTGCACATTAGGACATTACTAGGCTTAACCATACTATCAAAATTGTTTACCCATTCAATATACGTGTATTCTGGTTGACGCTTAAGCGGATTTTTCTTTTTTACTGCAGATGATAAAATAGAATTGCGACTCAAAAATGTGTGCTTCAAATTCTCCGTTGGCCTAAGAAAATTTGACCACATTAGCCATATTTATAAGACAAACAAAAGAATTGAGACTAATAAACTTAGGTATAACCTTCTATCTTTGCTTCATAAAAGTCTAGTTATTACAAAAATTTGACCGAGTTGACAGCTAACAGCCAGTTGTTAGTTACACGCCATGACTCCATGAAACGAGTTGCACACAAAGAAAATCACAATATAGTGGGATTTAACTCCGTTTGATACAAAACCCATAAATCTGATGGAAATAAAGTATAATAAATGTATGGTAGTTTCTTTATTAAAAAAATGGCATCGAGTACATAGACTCTGCACGTCTTATGCAGCGCTGTCATCAGTTCACAAAGTATTATTAGTAAAGAAAATTATAAATGGATCGAGTTAGTCAAACAAACTCATATAATTAGCATGCCTTTCTGTACAATCTTGAGGCTCTTTCGGATTTGATTTCCCGAGAAAATGTACTACCCTTCGCGCTTCAAAAAGTTTTGGAAGCAAGTATGAGGTACGCGTCTGCACAAAGTTATCTTTTGTGGATGGATGGCCCTGAGAAAAATTCCTGTGGGCGCACATGACCAAAACTATGTGTACATCTAGCATGGATGACGATCAAGGCAGTCGGAAATATTTCTCCATCACTTTAGAGGGTAAATGTACGGGGAAATCTGTGATGAGTGAAATATATGTCATAGGTGCGTAGAATTACGGGGCTAGAGGCATAGAAGTATACCAGCGTCAAGAAATTAAGATAGAGTGACATAATTTTCCGTGATCTACGAGCACAGGACATATAACATTAAAAAAAATAATGACGATGACATTTTCTAAATTTTTCACGATTACAATACTTCCTCGCCAGTGACGTAGCAAGTAAAAACATAAAATTTATATAGTGATTTTCCTACTAACGCGAAGTGCTCTTTTAGCTAAAATAAAATTTGATTGCATTGAAAACACGATTTATTACTACTGTTCGTCGATTCTCCTTATGATTTATAACGTATATTTCCTCCGAGAGCGTAATACACTAATGTGTACTATATAGAAGACAACTTAAAGCTTAGCTACAAATGGTGTATTCGTGGATATTCTTTGTTTTTTGTTGTTGGATGAGTAATAACCCCTTGCATGAGCTTCTCCTTATGCAATTGATAGAGAGACCTATTAGCTCAATTACTACTGTCCTTGATAGTGTAATTTGTTGTACGTTGTTACAAAATGCAAGCGCTGTTGTTTGGTCAGCTTAAAAGTATATGGAAATGCTGGTTGGTGGCAGGAGATTCCATCTATTATCTACGGTAATTTGCTGTCGTTAGCTTAAATAAATAAAAACTACAAAAATAGGAAAAGAACTGAATAAGCTAATGATACTTCTACTTTTTTCAGCGATGTTCCGATTTCGTATACGAACGTTATGTATGAGAAAAGGGTATTCAGAGGCAGCAATTTTGCCGCTGCACATCAGCTTGGGCAGGTTAGTATCAAGGTTAACAACTTCGAAAAGAGCTAGCTAGAATTTGTTGAAAATACTCTTCATTTATGTGAAAAAATCATCATAATATGCCTGTATGTATCAGCAGTTGCAAACAAAGAGAGACAAAGGCTTTATCATATAACGAGTGTTTCAAATCACTCTCACCACTGTAATCCCCGAAACGGTAAGAAATACGAAATCGGCTAAATGAGGGAAAAGTTGCGCACTTAGGTAATTAACAAGATATCACTTAGAAAGTGTTGCAATTCAGAGTATTTCCAGAGATATTAGATGGAGAAGAACAAATTTTCTCAATATCATTTTTATTTTTCCTAGCTTCATTTGATGTGGGATTTCAAAATAAATTGCCCATCATTATTTTCAATTTTTTCCTTTACAAGGTAGCATGATTAGAATTTCAGTATGCTCGGTCATCAACTTTATTTGTTCTTATGGACGCCATATAACATTGTAACGGAAACACCGTGTTTACTTTCTAAATTCTAATTTATTACTAGACGCTAATTTATAACACTTGCAACTAATTTGTGACATATTTGTAACCCTGTCGACTGGACTATCGCGTCCTGTGATGATTCATCGCCCGCTGACGATTTGGCGACTCATTGTAGACTCGACTGTGCCTGACTGCTTCCGCCATCTGGTCGGGTATTTATTCCTCTATCGATGAGTCGAGAAATATTCCAACACCTTTTTGTACATTTTTCTTCAATCGTAACTTGTTGTCAAAAACTATTAGAACAGTTCTGAAATTGTGTGTGAATATTCCACTTTTTCTCTTCGAAAAGTCTTTGATTTTCTTGAAACCTCATTTTGCAGCAAATTGAGTTTTCAAGTATAGCAAAAAAAATTCGAAGAGTGATAAGAATACTTGTAAAAGTAACCACCCGTTTCATTCTCCCATAAAAGAGGAAAATTCACACACAATTTCAGAGCTGTACTAACATTTATTAACAAGTTACGATTGAAAAAAAATGCACAATAAAATGCACAAAAACGCTGTTCATGTAAAGATCGTCCGCCTTGCTAAAATAACGACTTTAATAGTTGATAAATGGTCAAATTGTTTGAAAGTCTTAACGCACTTCTCAAAAACTGAAGCGATCTTTAATGGGTGATGTGACCAAAAAATAATGTGACAAGCCGTTGTTTTCAAGGCTAACTAAGAAAATATTACGTTTTTAAAATAACCGAGAGTTGGACATGTCAGTGTATGGCATACTAGAATCAAAAACTCTATTCTTGTGCAAAAATACAATATGGCGAATATATAAAAAAGTATAGGTGATGATTGATGACAAGAGGCGTAACGTCCGCAAATTTTGATATTATAATTATTATTACACCTGGTAGAGGAGATTAAGTGGCAATGATAGCGCGCTATTTACCTTGAAATCCCACCCAGATAACGTAAGTAAGACAACAACGATTTTGAGAAAAATCTAATTTTTCGTTTATCTACGGAAAGACTCTGAATTGCAAACCATCTCCGAGATCCCAATGGTGAAAATGGGATTTGAAACACCGGTAGAGCTCAAGTCGAACAACGAGACTTAATTAAATTATTTATCCGGATGATACGGTATTAGACCGATTATTTTGTTACTTATCTGTCTAGAGCTGAAAGCCAAGTGAGTAAGAGGGCTAGAACATTAGCTCAAGGTCAATAGCCATCCTCCTAAAAGATTGTTAGAAGTTTAGTAGATAGATTACATAGTCAATATATGTATATATATATTTTTTTTTAAATAGAGTTTGATACACCATAGATAATACAGCGTAAAAACCAGGGTAGAAACTTAAGGAATACTTACAGTTGATAACTGAGTGTATTTTGTAAAAATCGAGTTTCATACACCATAGATACACTTAATACGGCGTATAAATCATGGTAGAGACGTAATGCTTAATGTTAATAACTGAGTGTTTTTTTATTTTGGAAATTCATTAGATCTAGCTAAGCATGTTATTCAGTGTTGAATAGAGAAATAACAATCACTGCCAGCTTGCAAGGCATATACATATACAACATCTGAAACCCTCATTAACAGGTCCTTCCTGAAAAGTAATTTGTTAGTTGCTGAACCGTATCCGAATCGGCCCATTTTTATTTCCAAATTAAATACGAAAACAACTTGGTTAAAGTCAGAAGTTTCTTGACCACATTTTGTATTGTGCAGCCGAAGTGGAATCCAAATTTTGCATACGCCAAACTTCTATCCAAAGACGAGGTACGTACTCTTGCCGTCTCTGCTTACTCACCGATTATCATTTATTCTTAACAACAAAATCGTTGGACTTAAAATGTGCCGATTTGTTATTTTATATAGTTTACTTTTAATGCATAAACATATATCATAATTACATGTTCATGGGCACCTCAATTCAAATATCCATCATTTGATATAAGCACAAGTATCACTATTGCTGCCATATTTAGATGTCATGCCTTTAGATTAGCTAGCTATACATTGCAGACATGTACACATAGTCATGCCTCATTTACAAAATCTCGAGAAATAAACTACGTAAAATGCCTGTACCACTTTTATAGATCGGATAAGTTGTGTGCACAATTACAGCAATTGGATATCGTTCTGCTGATAGACAGCTGGTATGTATAAAACAAGCTATACGTGTTACTAAAACAATAATTACGTACGTCGAGCCACTGCAAGAACAAAGTGAACCACAAAAGTAACTACCTTAGGTGTTTATGTGTCCATTAACAGAAAGCTCGCAATTTTTATATCAAAAAGCATAATGTCATATGATGTAGTATACGGAATCCTAGTATCACCTACAGCTATATTTATAGCACATGTATTAGATTACATTAATGCAATTTATCTAGAAAGAAGCTGGACTTAAAGATTAAAATTGGGGGCTGAAAAAAAATAAATCTCAAGTATTCAATTACATCATACAACAAAATAGAGACAGCAGTAAGATTTCGACCACAAGAAGGTTTTGCTCCAATTTTGGTAATCTTTATTTCGCTGAAAGCGTCTACATACAGTAAGTACTTTCCAGAAAGATCCGCGACTCTACCTATCTTTTGAAAGTGTCAAGTTTGCACGCTGAAATTTGGGATAGCGAAATTGATGCAAAGTTTAAGAAAATTAGCTCAATCAGACCAAATAATCCGCATAATTTTGAAAAATGGAACAGTTATTCCTTGAGGTGTCCAGATAAACTAAAATCCCTCGACTGTGGAAGGTGAGCCGACGGTATGGGATGGGGAGCTAGGGGAAAGGCCCAGGATTTTGCATGCACCTCTTAAGCTGCAAATAATATATCTATAACTCCTCTTGCATTAACGATCTACATTACACTTACATCAAATTGTGTCATTCGTTTCTGCTGTAAGATCAATTCTCCAGGAGCTGCATAGTTTCTTTGTTGATAAAAAAAAGAGATATATTTTAATTACGAAAAATAATAAGTAAAAACATTTTAGTTATCAAATCAAATTAACTAAATTGTCTGTGATCGTCGTCAGTTTTTTCGGCATTGATGGGACACTGCAGCTAATGCTCGCTTTTCAGCAACTGACTGCCAGAATAATCACTCTTGCATCGGCGGAAAATAGATCTAAATAACGTGGCAGGAGCGGCAGGATCCAAGGTAGCGATTAGCTCTAGGTTTCCTCCGACTCCGCGCGTTAAGCCCCACATTTCAGGGGGCATTTGATTCCTAAGCCACTCCTGCACTTGCTGGAATATTGTATATACGCTAAAATATAGTATTCATGCATCAATTTTATCTCTCCGAATTTCCACTTGTTGACTCATCCAAAAAATGGTCGAATTTTTGGAAAGCGCTATAATCGAATCTGTCATGTACCTCTCCAAGATAACCAAGGGCTTTGTTCTGGAGTATAGGGTTACGATCAATTGTATTATAACCCAATACTTTCAGGAGTTATCTCTACGTTACAAAGAAACGATCAATTGTCCAGTATCGCGATAAGGAAAAATGACATATTTTAGGCCGCTGCAAAGTTTTATGTACCACATATAACTATACAGGCATTCAAAATATACAATAAAAAGTGGGAGATGACTCAAGGTGATCAGAGCTTTTGCCAAAATTGCTGGTCCTTGACAACTAGCACGTACAGAAGCAAGCTCGATAAACTGATTGCAAGGGCGGTGTAATGCCCCATCCTTCTACTTATCGGTTCACTTAAAATAAGTACATGATGGTTTTTCCTCAACCAAACTTTTATACGGAGTTAAAATCGCCTGAAAGATTTGCACCTAAGCATCGTTCTGAACAGCCGCGAATAAGATTTAGAATATTAGCTGAAAGTTCACGCACATTCATTTTTTTCAATCATTGTCATGAGTCTTGAACTTAACAATAAATAAAAACTCGTAACTCCTCAGGGCGGTGAAGGTGAGTCGGCAGCAGCCCGCGCGGCGGAAGCGCGAAGACGTGCCTTAGCGCGTCGTAAAGCGAAGCATCAGCAGATCCGCTCCTCGCAGCTGAGGCTGGGTTCACCACCTGCAGTACCCGGTCGACAACATGAACGTGTGCAGACTGAGCAGTACCTGGAGGAACTGTTCGTGAACCCGCCCGTTCGTGATGTTTGCACGCAGACGGACCTGTTCGTCGAACGGCCTGTATCACCCTTCTACGTGCCCGCAAAAACCGGCGCAGATGTCGCCACTCAAATATACCCAGGAGATGTGAGTACTCTTAAGCTTTTATTTGAATGGTATGACCGAATTGGTAGCCCAGAAGCTTCACTCAGGCATTTCCCCAGTACAAAATTAAGCCTCAGGTTCGGACTGATCGGTTTTTGCAACAACGAATTTCCGATAGTCCCGAGCAGTCATTTATAGCAGACCAGTTCAGAGCAGCTGTTACAGGTTACATCATACCACTAACTTGTATGGATGAACAGTCTCCGATAGTCAGAGATAGCTTGTTGGAAGTAAGGGAATAATTTAATAAAAGGATAGACTCGCTACCGGTGGGAGTAAAGTAATTTGTAGAATGCATGATGCACAATACGTTAACAAGACTACATAATAAGTATTTAGACGTGCGCACTATGTCATCCTATCGTCATTTGACCTGACTTGTGTCAATGTTAAATAGAAGCATTTTCACAAAAATTCACCGTGCTATACTTGAATAGTTTTGTAGCTAATTTGGGCATAGTCTCCACGGAAAATTTTGATGATGCAAACAATTTACTTATTTACAACCACAAACGACAAAATTGCTACCATTTTTGAGAATTATTTGAGAACTGAATGGAAAAAGCGGAACCAAGTAGGTTGCCTTAGCACTCTCCACACATTAGTAACTATACTTGTACGAACACGCTTTCCATAAATTACTGTCAAGACAATCCGAGGCATGCCTGGTGTCACAATTTTCAAACAGCCTATTTTTCTACCATGGCCTGAAATAATCGGAAAGTATAAAAACGTCAAATAACAAATAAGGTGTTGACTCCGATAGCCCTGTTCGTACATTTGTCAAAAACCTGTCGGTGATCGTGTCCAAGATCCTGCCAAATTCCGTTCATTCTGCTGATGATACTGCTACGCTATATACATATTCTGTCCCTCGTTTTCAAACAAGTGTAGACCTGTTAATACTTGTCCGATTGTTTACATTGTGGTGTCAGTTGATTAAGCGCTTTTCGGGTAATTACATATACCTCAGTTTGTATTGATCTCTCGAAGCATAACGATGGAGTGGGGCAAGGCAGAGAACCGTATTGCAGTGATAGCTTTACATAAGTGTAATCACAGTGCTAGTCAGATTTTTGAACTCTTACGCGGCCTTCAAATATCGCGTAAATTTGTGTCTAGGACCAGTCAGCGGTACAATGAGACGTCCTCTGTTGATGACAGGTCAAGAAGCGGAAGACCTCGTCAAGTAAGGACTCCAGCAGCCATCAAAGCCGTAAAAGCCAGGATTCAAAGGAATCCACTCCGGAAGCAGAAGATCCTATCCAGGGAAATGAAGATTCCTGTCCGGACGATGTCGCGCATCATTAAACAAGACCTAGGGCTAGGGGCTTACCGGAGACGTACGGGCCAGCGACTTACGGCCACCTTGCGACACATCAGGGCGACAAGATCCAAGAAGCTGTTGGAGAGGTACGCAGCTGGGGGATTCCGAAAGATTTTGTTCACGGATAAGAAAATCTTCACCATAGAAGAAAAATTCAACCGACAAAATGACAAAGTGTATGCAAGGAGTTCACAGGAAGCTTCGGAGATCATTCCGAGAGTTGAGAGAGGCCACCACCCTGCGTCAGTCATGGTTTGGTGGGGGGTGTCCTACGAAGGGGTCACTCAGCTCCATTTCTGTAAACAGGGCGTGAAAACAAAAGCGGCAAACTATCAGAGCGACATACTGGATCCTATCGTCAAGCCTTTAAGTGGTACATTGTTTGCCAACCAACACTGGGTCTACCAGCAGGATTCCGCCCCCGCTCACAAGGCTAAGAGTACGCAGCGCTGGCTGGAAAGCAATGTGCCAGAGTTCATTGCTGCGGAAGATTGGCCCTCAGGGAGTCCGGACCTCAATCCTTTAGACTACAAGTTGTGGGACCTGCTAGAGCAGTTGGCCTGCTCCAAAGCCCACCGTAATATCGAGTCCCTGAAAGCGGATTTGATCCGATCAGCGGCAGCTATTCCTTTGGAAGCTGTGCGTGCAGTGATAGATGAGTGGCCCGCGAGATTGAAGCAGTGTGTGAAGGCCAAGGGGGGACATTTTGAATAAAACTGTTTGATTATGAATTCTAAAAATGTTGTCGAATAAATAATATCTTTCATATAAATGTATCTTATCTTGTTTCATTTTTATCATGAGATTATCATGGGACAGAACTTATGGCACGACTACGTAGACAGAATTTATAAGGCCAGGTCCCAGACACTATCACCGACTACTGTACGAACACACCGCATGTACTACATCAAAAAATAAGCAGCAACTCCGAAAACATTCAAAATATTAAGTTTGTTGACGTTCTCAGATTTTTCTTTTTTTTTGTTCCTCTGGATTTTATGAAAGCATTTAAGATATTCTATCATTGGCACTGCAGTACCCTTATTTAAAATTGTATTAGAATCCAAGCAGTAATTTTTGAAGTATAGAAATGGAGGACCTCGTAGCTTCTTCGCTGGTTATTTTTAGGGCCCTTGTTCGGACTCATCCACATACAAAACCTGTTTGATTCTGTCCTCATCTGATTACGTTAGTGCCTCCTGTGGTAGAACCTGTGCTGCTCTTCTTGCGCATAAGATCCAATCGCCTGACAAATATTAATCAGAGTGATTCTATTTGTCCTATACTGGGGTACTACCAACTAATAGCCTTATGTCCGTTTTATATCAACAATTTTCCCCTGATGTGATTTAGATGGATTTCTTCAAAGTCAACCTCATTTTGTTCTGCAGTGAACAAATCCTTGACTTACCTGACATTACCTAGTGCTCTCAATAGGGCCAACCACAAAACAAATACTTGCTAGAAACAGTTTTAGTTTTTATATGTATTGTGGTTTTGATCCCGACGTGAATCTCGCAAACCGAAACCGTTGTTGAATACCGTAGTTCTATCGCAGTTCTGTTCTTGCAGAGATGTTCAAGATAACGAAAAGGAGAACAATACGCAATACGTAGAAAGCTGCAGTTGTTATTGCACTTTCAGCTGTATCTTGTGAGTTGTTGGAGATAGAGGAGAAAGAAAGAAGGTGGTCGATACGGCCATGGCTTACGAAAGAACAGGCTATAACTGCGTGAAGAAATCCACGGAGAATTTCATGAAATTATTTTATTATTCAGTTCATGAAGAAATCCATTTATTGTCAATGTAAAACGTAAAACATTTCTACTGACAAACTCTAGAACGATAGATCTTCCGAGGTAGAAGAAGTGTTCTGAACGACAAGCATGCATAACAGCATATCTTGACGACTTCAATCCACATTTGACTCCAAAATAATCGATGTCAAAAGTTCAAAAGCACGCGACCACATCGAAAATTTAACCGTCTCTTTGAAGGTTGATCAATCAAACTGAATATGGCAGCAGCTTTTGTATATTATCAATAATTTTTCAACATGTTACATTCCAATAGCTTAAGAAGCACCAATAAAACAATAGTCAATAATGTGCTTTCAAGCCGCTTCGCTTTGAACACTACACGAACTCACGCGCTCAGAAAATAATTCTTTCTCTTATTATACAGGACCTAAAAAATAAACGTCGATGCGTTAGTATTAAAAGAAATTTTGCTCGAGATGGTCATATTCTGAGGCCCTAATGCTCTGTCAAGAGTTATTCCCGTCGAATCACTTCACACTAGCTTCCTTTCATATGTGATGAGATACATCCATTTCGATACCGCCGCATGCTATCCAAAAAGAATCGTATCCTTAATATTAAGGAGTAATTTTTTTATACTCCAGCTACCACGAATTCCTAAGGCCTAAACACCCATGGGGTACCGTGGGGCTATAGAGGAAAACAGGGGACGCCACATGGACTCTGGCGAGGAAATACGTGTGCATGCAACATGCACACATTCTGGCCCCGCCTACGAGATCCGCCGGGTGGTACCTCCGCGTACGACAGTCAGAGACCGTCTACCACCTACGGACAAGAGAAAAATGTCTCTTGGGACGGGATTCGAACCCTCGCAGCGCACGGCGACTGATCGGGAGACGAAAAGTCAACCAATGTGGAGACCGCTGCAATACTACGATGGGAAGGGACGAAGGCTCAGCGGCATGCCTGGGAATCCGTGAAAAGTTTGGAATCCACAAAACAAAATATTCTGGAGCTTTTTCCGCTGTGTCTACAGTCGGGTATTTTTGAATCTATCAGTTTGCCCTGTTCTGGAATATTCTGTATAATGATCTATTCCTTCACTAGCTATTCGATTTCGACATGGAAGTGCAACCGATTCTGGAAGTGCTTGTTGGCAAGACGATCGAGCAGGCACTGATCGAGGTACTGGAAGAAGAAGAGTTGGCAGCGCTACGCGAGCAGCAACGTCGCTTCCTGGAAATTCGCGCAGCGGAAACAGCCGAAGCGCTCCGATTGGAGGAGCGAGAAAAACGGCTCACCGAAGAGAAGAAGAGAAGGATAGCAGAAGCGGAAGCGGGACTGACGGCTCAGAAAGAGATGGAGGAAAGAATAGCCGCATCGGTGCTTATGCAAGGCTACATGACCGACTTGCTACCTGGAGTCTTGGAAGGGCTCGAGTCCGAAGGGTTCCTCACGGACAGCATCAGAAAAGGTATGTTACTTAAACATTTGATCTCCATATGGAATGGGTCAAGTATAGGAATAGTCACAAATGAATAAAGATTGGAACAATCGAAATGTTAAGGTGTTCGGTTATATGATGAGATAGATAGATATACATTTATTTTAAAAAACAGCTAATGTTATATAAGAAAGCAATTAAATAAAAAATTTGTCATTAAAACATATTAAGTGTGGTCTGTAAAGATGATTTGTAAATAAAGAGAGAGATTTAGTCCATAATTGGTTCTAGTACATTCACAATAAAACACTAGAATATGTATTGTTACGCTGGGGCATCGTAAGGGAAATTCACATATATTCCCATGAAACGGTTCATACAAAAAGGCTGTTGCAATAAAAGTGCCTTGTTTGCAGAGGAATAGATTTTGCTTCATAAAGCAGCAAAGAGTAATCAGATTCTCACTCAGGAAATATACCACTACGCTTAAAATAGTAGATATTTCAAAAATATTCTCTAAGCACGCTCGAACGCACTAATATATGTTGCACAGTATGAGTACCATATCAAGACACCATACTCTAACTTGCTGCGTACATAACTAACATATAGGATTTTAAGAAATGAGACAGAGAACTCTCTAGCATTTCTCATGATGAACCCCAACATTGTATTAGATGACGAAGCAGTGATATTTATATGGACAGAAAAACATTTTTTGATCGAAGGGAATTCCTAAGTCGCCGACTTTCTCTTGACGCTTAAAGCTAACGTTTCCAAAGTAATATTCAAAAATTAGAATATTCTGTTTTCTTGCGAAGGATACAACTAGACACTTGTCATCATTTAAGCTAAAATGATTGACTTGGAACCATGAAGATATTGTCATTAAATCTTGCTCCTGTACAAGGCAGTCATCGATCCGTTTTATTGAGTAATATAGTTTCAAATCGTCTGCATACAATAATTTTGAACAATGCAGGCCAAGAGTTATAACGTTTATGTATAACAAAAGAATACACAGGATCTATATTTCAGCCTTGAGGATTCCTAAAGTGGACCTTTGAGCGGTGAATGGTTTCTTTCATATTCAGCATATTGTGTCCTATTGAAAAGAGAAGAGTTAAACAATGATCATCAGATTATTCAAATAGGATACCTAAATCTATTCTATCAAATGCCTTTTCTATGTCCTTATAAACATCAACATGTTCCCTATCATCCAAAGTTTCACAAATAGTTTGTTTCAAGCAAGCAAAGTCAGTGATACATGATTTTTTATCGACAAAGCCATGCTGATCGATCGACAGCATTTCTCTTGTTGCGACAAAAGTGATTCTGGCTTCTAATATTGCTTATAACATTCCGTGAACAACGCAACAAATATGACTCACAGTTGGTTACGGGTAGCTAATAGACATTTACAGCTAATCGACAGAAAATCAGTTTAGTTGCCCTAAATATCCAGAAGCTAACTATAAAACTCGTGCGGTCAAGAAAACCGCAACTGGCATTTTAAAAAGAAGAAACAGCCTAATACCCCTCGGCTATTCTAAGTTAGAATTGCGAACATATGCGATCACACGGTCAATAATTCATTCTACTTATAAGTTGTTATACAATCTTAAGTCTAACCTTTCTAACGCATCCTCTCAAAACGCGACTATTTCATTTTGTTAATGATCCCAGTATATCTGACCTTAAAAGGGGTAAATGAGCCTTTTCAACTTTTGATCAATATCTTCATCTCGTTTGAATTGTAGATTCATAGTGCAATATTTATCAGCGTATACAAGATATAAATTTATTGAGGCACCTATTTTATGTGGAAGTAAAACTATGGCAATCAGTTCCAGTATATCGTCATCGATTGGTTTAGATCAATAACATGTAATTTCACTGATGGTTATCGGACACATCTTCTGTTCTATAAATGCAGTTACTACCCCTACACATCTAGGTTACGGTTCACATAATTTCTCCACAAAAGGGAAAGCACCAACACAACACCAAGAATTACATTAACCCCGTTTAGGTAGGGTTTCAAATGAAGAGTTCACGGCTGCAGTAACCTGATTTCCTAATTCAAACGTTCATACATATACGTCCGCAGTATATAATTTGCAAAGATAAAATCGTCAGTAAAGGGATAATTTTCTTGACTAGAGTCACTAGTAGAAGGAGCAAATCTGCGATTTGTTTTTCTGCAAAATCTAATACCTTCTAGTCAGGATGAAAGTTCATACTACAAGTTGATCATGCTTGAGCCGCCAATTTGACAGTTGTTAACATTTTACATTCATATTTTTCTGCGAAAACAGATAAAATAAGATCTGTCGGTACCTGTAGTTTTAATGGACAGACAAACTTGGGGGATTATCAACGTACATGTAATATTAGCAGATGAATATTTGCTTATATCCAATTTATCTGAACAGCGAACACCTCTAGAATCACTAATGTCATCACAGCTTTAAGTTACATATTTGTGCTTTGTAAAAGGATACTGTACTACCCGAAAGATAAATGTGGAAAAGTGACTTGGTACATTTTTCATGAAGATTCAGTTTCAAAGCGAAGTTTTATCTGCTGTTTGTACCAAAAAAATGCCTGAACGATCCTATAATTACTAAACACCAAACAACACCATTTAGCCAAATTATTATACTACGATACTCCCCCACGGGGTGTCTATAAATAGAAATGTACTATTTATCAGAGCGTGACACATTTCTATATTGCATTTTTATTTGATCGCAGATTTGGACGAGTCATTCATGCCATGGCTATTGAGGGAAGTCACGCAAGAACTTCAAGAAATGGTTAGCAGCAGGGATATACTGACAGGTAAGAGCGTGTTTATCTGTATTTTCATGTGTTTTGTAGCCTTCAAAGTTATGATGATTTAGTTCCTTGTATTGGATGTTGCTGCAAACTGAGTAAACAACAGTCCAATAGTAAGAAGTGCTTGTCGACATTATAACTTAAGGCCAACTAGCCAAAAATTGATCCCCTGTTGTAGATATTATTGTTTAGGCGGATTTTAAAATGGAACTATATTATCATTAAGGGTAAATGAAATATCACGTCGTCTAGAGATACAATAAAATTTACAGGGTAACGGCCAAGTTGAAAAAACATGTTTTCGCGTATATAAAAAAAACTTTGAGGTATTGGTATAAGTGTTTCTACAGAAGAGTTTTAGGGCGTGAAAAGACCTTTAAAGAGACGATCAACCTGAAAAAGGTTAGTAAATCTGAGAATGTGCAAAAATGTTTGAGCTTTATGATGAAAAATAAATTTGAAAATTGTGAATTTATTGAAATAACAAATAAAATGCTGCTGAAAACTGAATATATAAACTTCAATATACGCCTGAAAGTGATTTTTCCAGCTTTGTCTTTCAACAGAAAAAGTTACCCGGAATAATTCTCTGTATCTTTGTGTTGGAAGATTTTCATTTACTACTAAATACGTAATTCCATTGTAAAATCCGTCTTTTTTCTGAAATTTGAGATATTCTGGTTTGATAGTTCAGAGGATTATAGCGAGTTCACAGTGTAGGAAGCGTTCTGGTACATACAGCCCCTCTCAAAACCATTCCAGCTAGCTATTTTTAGAATTCGTCTGAATAACATATACCTTCAAATATCTCTGGGAATATTTCCGGATATTCATATTGAATAATCCAGAATTGGTACCCAAATCGCTGCTTCAGAGGTTATTTCAAAAAACAACTCACCATTCTCTATAAGTCTATGCCAACGGATATAATTTTTTGAAACTGAGAATTTTTAATACATGATTAATTATTTGAAACTGACAGTCTTGGCCGTTTATGAGCGTCGTTTCTGATTTACTATCCCGAAGACTAATTTGTCCAGGAAATATCTCCCCATCTGCTGGGACAAATATTCCGATTCTGATTTTTTTATGATCTTTTCCTTCTAACGAATCTGCATGTTGCCAGGCCCGAAATTGCGTTAAGAATTATATGAACAAACTTTTAAATAGATTAAAAAATTGTTTTTTGCGCTATGGAAGTTTTTTAGAACTTTTAAATTATTCTGAAGAAAAAATGTCCTTATGAAGTTGATAGTTTTTGAGATTTAATATTTGAAAGAAAAAGTGCGAAATATGCCATTTTTATACGCTTTGCTCTCTTTGTCTCGCTCATATACATACATTGAATACAGGTCCTCAATGATTCTGTGCCGATCCTGTAAATTAAGCAAGCACTTATTAACAATTGAAAACAAAAGTTTAACAATACCACCCAAAAATGGTCTGAGATTTTGTTAATGTATATTTCAAGAATATTCAGAAGCTCCATCATCAGTGAAATTTTTGTTTTTCGTAATGTTTTTCGGGGTCGAATATGACATATTTCGCACATTTTCAAATATTCAATCGCTTATATCTCGAAAACTATCAACTTTAGAGCTTGGTTCATAACAACTTTTTTTTCGGAATTATCTAAAAAATCTTAAAAATCTCTGCCTGGAGCGGTTAAAAATATTTTTTGGAATTCTCTTAAAAAAAAATGTGTAAACGATTCTGAATAAGACTCTGCAAAAAATGAATCAGAACAATTTAAATTTTCCCGGAAGATACGAAGGTACGAATTAGGCTTCGGAATAATCGACAAAAAAAACGATCAAATAGCACGAAGTTGCCCGCTCTTGATTCTTAAAGCACATAAATATGAGACAACAAATTGTTCTGTAATTTCAGATATCGTCAGAGAAATCCTAGAAAACAGAGCAGAAATATATGATGCACTGAACAAAGAAACCCATGGACATGAGCCTGAAGAGGAGGGCCCAACGATGGAAGAATTGCTTCTGAGAGATCACATTAAACTCCAAGAGGAGATCAAGAAAGAAGAAGCTGAAACCGAAAAAACTGAACCAAAATAAACATACGTGTACATCATTTGGTAAGGCGAAAATCAAAACGGTCAAGATTTATAGACTCTTTATCTAGTTCTCGTTGCATTCTTCTGAAATGGAAAATTTCGCTCAAAACTTGTCTGGAAAAAATTATCGCTTGTATAATTTAATGCCTCAAGTGTGCCATAAACAAAGGCTTCTAAGCTACCAACTCTAAAGTACTCCTGCAAAACCAGATTTCCCAAAAACGTGACTTGACGACTGATAACAATTGCAGTCTGTATCTGGACGCTCACCAGTGTAATGACAACATTCGAAAATAATGTTTAACGCAAATTATGCCAGGCGAACAAAATCCTAAGGATCCCCAAATTTTACACAAAACCATGCTATACTTTGGCATCAAAACGGAGGAGGGTAACATAACACATCGTACGCCACTGCCAATTCAAAGACATGGCGCGTCCAATGTGTTAAGCTTTGGTCTTCCATTTTGATTCCTGACTGTGAGTATGCGAAGATTCAAGGCCAACATGATTGATATATAATAGTAAGTTCCGATGAAAGACCATAAATATCACTATTGGGCATGTCTCCGGCGTAATAGGTGCCGCAGTTATTGGCACTCCAGGACCTGTTTGATTGACGCCATCGAATTTAAAGCGCCACCTTGGCTGCTATTACAATGTGGTTTATCTTGTTGCTCCTTTCGGTACCTACATTTCATTGTACCTATCTCTTGAATAACAATGTGAATCGAAAATCACTGGTCGCATTTGACCCAATTATATAAAATTAGCCATACGAATATGATTTGCGGATTATTGATTTTGAGATTCTATGAAATACATTGTGAGCGTCTGTTATTTTTAGTCATTCCTATTTATAGTTTTAGCTAGGCTTAACACGTTCAATTAAAAGAAATTCCATCCATTGTTCTGATTAACCACGCGAGACATACCATACCCTTCCTGCTAAATTTAGCCATAAAAAGATCATTGCGACTAAAACACAAAGTTAACTACGTGGCTCAAAACGGATGTCCAGTTCAGTAAATGGAAAAACAAGATGGATTTATGAACAGACTACTGTCCTTTTTCAGAAACATGTCAGCAACACCAACCTGAACAAATTAGAAGCGGCAACTAGATGCACAGTGATAGTACCTACAAAGTGTATTTTGGAAGTAATGATATACTGTTTATAAAATTATATTGTTGAAATATAACTATTCTTTATTGTACTGAGTTTTACTTCAAAAAAGCGATCGTGTATTTACGTCCTCAGATAGCTTATCCACTTACCATGGCTTGATATTGAAGTGCATGGGCAATGTTAGGGATTCTAGGTATAAGAGCTTCAAGGCATCGGTAGTAAATGATAGAACAGAGAAATGGAAAATCTATAAAAGGTACGGTTTTTACCTTTAAGATAGTTCGAGGATTGGCTACAACGTACTTGATTGATCAGACTAACTTTGCTTGTGATGTTCACCCTTTATCCAACCAGACAAATCATGAACCCATTTCTAAACCTGCTAGAATGAGCTCTATGAATTCACTATATTTTAAAGGTTTCAATCCCTTGAACAAATTGACCAGATGCATCAAAGTATATTCAACTCTCCATGAAGTCAAGAAAAGACTACTGTTTTTGTATTGTGTGCGTTTTTCGTTTTAAATGTACTTATCTCAAGGTATCTAATGTTTTTGCTATAAATGTGTTTTCTATTTTATTGCTATGATTTGGGTATAATTATCCTATTTCTAACTAAATAAGTTTTCTTCTTCTAATAACATTCAGCACAATTAGCGCCCCATAACCACTGTATGCCAGTGTCCAAAAATGGATCTGGAAGATACTAGCACCACGTATTCGACAGTAACAGAACAACAAGTGAATTTAGAAATCTACTTTGAAGATAGACCAGTTGGTTCCACTACTTTTGGCATCTCTAATTCCAATTTTAGTTTTGAATACGTTAATCAATGTCTGAAGATACCCAACTAAAATAGTCATTAGATAGGCGCAAAAAATGACTGAAGATCCTAGCGCCATCTCTGAGACAGTAGCAGAACCAAATACTTAACTTTATTTTTGTATTCTGCTACTGTCTCATAGGCAGCGCTAGTATCTGATATGTCCCTTTTTGAACGTCGTAGTGCGTATCTTTTTTCATATAGAATATTTTAATCAATGCTCTAACGTTGAAAACCTCTCCCGCGTTCGTCAACGTGTTGCTTTGTCAAGACATCGCTAAGGTCCGACGTTATCCACTTTCCAAGATCGTAGAGTGCATACAAACAATAAATTGGTATTAGTGGTTGAACCCTTTGAGAAATTTAATAATTACTTAGGACCATACAGACGATAAAAGATAACGGTGTTTACGACTTCAGAAACGGTAATTAAGTGCCCAAATGATCCGCTTGTTAGCTTGAAAACAATAACCCAATCACGTCATTACCATAATAATTATCATCCAATGCGACGAATTTATCCTCATATTCCATTCATCAAATTGCAAATAATTGATAATACTGTCCAGACCCCAGATAAGTATATATTGATCGCATCAACACGTAGATTGAGACAACAAGATGCCAACTTTGAGCAAATAATGATGCTATCCTCTCTCCAAAATTGAAAGTTGTAACGTATCGTAGAGATGGTGCTCATAATAAATGGTTAAATAAAGCTCTCCCAGGACTCTATGCATTGGTTTGCCTCAGGTCGCCAAAAACAAAACAAAAAAACTGGAAAATGTCAACTCGAATGCCCGAATATTAGTTTAGTCTACGACGGTGTTTGTTTTTTATGAGCTTGACTTTCAACACAAACAGCTCTAGTATTAACTAGTACATACTCGGTATAAATAATTTGTCGTGGAAACACGCAACCTAGTATTGATTTTCTGACCCTTCTAAACCGCCTTAGAACTTTTCATAACATTTCTTGCTAATTTTCCGCATAATGAACGGGTAAGGCAATATTTTCATAAATAATTTACATTTCACATCGAGTATTGGTAATAGATTCAACAGCCCCTGCATTTCCATTCTGGTTCCAGTTGTGATCTGATACAGATAAATAGATATATATGTAACCCAATTATCATTTTATTTATATTTAATCATGTATTATTTTGTTGCCTATATATGTACGTCTCATCAATCTCTTAGGTAGATAAGTATTTTATTCAAAACTGCATTCTATTAATTTCCGTAGGTTAGAAGTGAACCGCAATGTCCGAAGGTTGTTTCCATATATCCATTCACCGACCTACTCTGTTACTGTGAATAAAACCACTAATATCTGACAGCATTTTTATTTTCCTAGTTCAAGTAATATAACAACCACGTTGCACTCCTTTATACACCATTGTAAATACGATTATGAATATCGCTATTGAAGAAACATGTTTTTTATCTTCAGGCAACTTTTTCATTTGGTCCTGATTTTCCGGCAGACCATTTCCTTGTCTTTCTCTATTAATGGATGTTAGCATACTGTGGACTTCCTTGCTCGTATTGTATTTCGTATCCACATTCAAGATTTCTCATCAAATATTTTTTTCAAGTCCAGTACAAACATCACACGATATTCCAAAAACTGCTGCATCATGGAGGCGTATTTACTTTTTGTTGCAGCATTTATTTCACAATTCTTACACTGTTCCTTATACAAGAATATTTTCGTGTCCAGTAGCTCATTAACAATTGGTTTAAGCCGTAACAAAAATTCTTCAGAATATTTGTCTCCAAAGACAACTTCGCTAATGTTTTTGCAATCACCGTTCAAACTAACAAAAATTAATGCTTTTAGATTGAAGGATAGCATATCATATCCAATGTATAGTTTACTATCCAAAAAATGCTCCTTTATGAATTTGTACTGTCTTTGGTCAATCTGAACCCCAAGAACTTTCAATACTGCTGCCATTTCAAACTGTACGACATCATATACGTTTCCGGGTATGAAAAATCCATATTCCATCAGTAGCTTCATATTATTGTGAGGTCCATACGAAATAAATATTTGATCATACTTTCTATAACCCGACAATGTTTTCAACTGATACACAAGCTGTCCATCTTGATTGTTTAACGCAGCTTCTGTGTTAGCGTTAAAGTCGTGGTTGAACATGTCCAAGAATGGACACAGTGCCATATTGGGTGTATCTAGCAGAACGCTACTAAAACCTTCTTCGATTCCCAACTGGTTAGGGTCAACATAAACAGCTCTGGTGTTGACAAGAACATACCCCCATTTGAATAATTCTTCGTCAAACAAGGCATCTGAAAGTAATTTTTTGGCTCTCTTCAGACCATTTCTGTAATTTTCATGACACTTTCTGCTAATTTTCTGCATCTCGTCAGGGTAGAGTGACACCTCATCTTCTGTTGCTAACCATGGTAGAGCTGGCAGTTCCTTGGGTAAGCTTCCTATATACTCCTTCCAGGATGATTCTATGTTTGTCACCTCCATCATCAGAAATACAGCTAGCAATTCTTGTATTTTTAGAGGTTCCCGTAAAAGCGCGATATGACTCATTAAGCATGTTTGTATTGAATTAAAGGTTATCATTAGCTGGTTGGGTATTGATATTAAAACATCGTTTGCATTAATCGCTCTCCTAGAACAAATACCTCTTCCTGTTTGTGCAAAGGAACGAAGTTGCAGTCGAGTTTCATTTTTCCAGCCGTGCTGGGCAAGCCATTGCCTTAACTGCACGCAGTCAGTTGTATTTTCTAGACTTTTTGACACTTCAGGCCTGTGACGTCTGCGGCGTTTCGTTCTTCCCATTTCTGCAAAAAATAGAAACTCGTGCAGCGAATATTCTACGAAAGAAGTTTCGGCCATACCCACCGTGGGATATTATAAATTAGTAGATACCAATTTGACCCGCTGGTAAAAAAATATTTATAATCACAAAATAATACACATTTCAACATAAACAACAAGTTATGGGTTTCTTATAGGAACACACTGCATATGACAAAAATTTTGAGGCAACGTTTTTCTCAGGCTGAATAGGATATGTCTACTTTTCGTTTCTACGACCATAACCAACCGCATACAACATTATTTTAGTAAGCCTCAGCGCGGTTCAGGTTTAGTCATTTTAGACCGATGACGGAAAGCAAACAAGCGGGTATGGGTCTAAAATGCAAAAAATAAAGGTAACACTGTCACCTATGAGTAGTGCTACCGACCTCTACGTAAGGTAGTAGTAAACCACAGCTTCCCGGCAGAGAGAGTCCGTTTCTAAAAACCCAGACAAGATCATCCACCACTTAGGCATTCCATCGCCTCAGGGAAATACTAAGTATACACCATACATGTATGCTCCCGTAATTGACGAACTATGCAAACACCCGCTGGATATGATCTGTTTACTTTCCCTCTCTGCCCCCATAACCAACCGTATACAACATTGTTTAATGCTGCTTAGCAATCATCAGTACGGTATAGGCGTAGTCATGCGGAGACAGATGGCGGAAAGCAAACAAGCAAATGTGAGACTACTGAAAGACTCAGTTTTGTAGTGAGAGATGCCGGGTAACTGTGATTTCCTGCTACCGTACATCGAGTTTGGTAGTGCCGCGATTGGCGAACTACTCACAGGGAGCAGTGTCACCTTTATTTTTCGCACAACATTTTTCTATCAGTTATAAACCCATACACAAGCTCAAAAAGTTTAGTACCTTTCATACTCGTATTTCGTCTGACTTTCTCGCCAAATAGGCTACCATATGCAACAAATATTTTAAACACGGAGGCGGAGTATATGAGAGTTCTACATAATAAGAGATGGGTAAGTCAAAATATGGAAATAAACAATATTTTCGATGGACACTTTGATATATCTAAGTCGAAGGATATTTTCGTAGTGAGACACATGTTTATTTTTTACCTCGATATTTTTTGAATTACGATGATTCCAAAATAACTAAGAATACACAGTCTTTCCCGCTGCAGAAGTAAAATCTTACGTGCATCCTTCGGGAAAGCGCGCTTTTATGCTATTTTCAAGATCTTTAACGAGTGAATAACATTATTTGCATTATTTTCACTCTACGAGTTGAAAATATGAAATTGTGCAGATACATTCAAATAAGTACGAAAACGCGAGTTGCCTTTTTTAAGCGCAAAATGACATTCCTTTCAATACTATTGGAATGATTTTTTGGTCCAACATAACAAAATGCGCCCTACTTTTTAGATACCTTATGACGCGAAATCAATCAAAAATTAGTTCTTAGAATATTTCTTCCCAAGAAATTATTCAAATAAATCCCTAAAAACCCGCTTTTACCATTAACTCTCCACCAGGATACCACCGTCTCGATTTATTGTACATCGTCGCCGATCATTTGCTCATGTTTGCGCAGTGCTCTTTAGTCCAGTAAGTTTTTTCGCATCCTCTCGGAAAAATATTCTGATTAGGTTTTTGTATATCCTTATCCAAAAAGGACCACTTCGAACGGAATCTTTATCGGGCCCAAAATTGCGTCAATATTTTTTTAATCTCCGGACAAAGTTTTTTTACATTTTTTGGGTCATCCTGAAAAGAAGGGGTCCTTATAAAGCATCTTCTAAAGTTGATAGCTATCTGGATAATATAATAAGACCACGAAAAATAAATGAAAAACGAAAATTTTAATGTCGGTAAGGTTCCAGGAGAAAAACTATAAAAAAGTTTGTCTGGGGCGAAAATGATTTTTAGTATTTTTCATCTAAAGAAATTATGACGCCGTTTTGGGCCTGGCAACATGCAGATTCAAGAAAATGGGTCTTGGGCGCCCCCAAAATTTATTCACAGTGGGACGATCATCGGCATCCACTTTTTGTGGAAGTGTTCATGCCCCCAAATCTTTTTGAAGAGCGGGAGGTAGCAAATTTTCCCAGGGTAGGAGGGCAAAATCCAGAAAGTTCTCAGAATGGCACACAAAACCATGGGTGGGGGAGACACGACCCCGCTGGTCTCCTCCTGCGGGCGCCCATGAAGGAGATACTTTTCGATTAAGATTATGCTAAAAAACGGTTCAGAATATTATTTCTCTGAGCAAGTGAGAAGACAATTCCTGGACTATTTGCGTTTGCGGTTCGCTAAGATGAGCAACTTTGCGCATTTTAAACATAACCTCAAATTCCAAAAGGGAACTTTATTTTTATCAAAATATTTTTGCTTACCTTAGGAAAATCCGCATTGATTTTATCACTGTAATAACTGCACATATCGACACACTTTGGGCAATTAAAACGGGGTAGGTAAACCTTTAATTCAGCCAAATGCAAACGATCATTTTTCAACAAAAGCACGCATTTTCTCAACTTGCAGAAAGCCTAACCTTCCGACTAGTGTCCGACTGCTTCCGATTTTGAAGCTTTGCGACTGTGCTGGTGACTGATCAGTCTTGTTCTTGTATATAATGGGTAGCCAGGATATAGAATTTAATGCCGGCTATGAAGTCTGTAAGGGCTACAAAGGACTTCATGTATTACAGTCGCATCATCAAGTTAGAGAACTACAAACAATACTACGTGACAAGTAGGTATACTGAACATATAATTCACTGCTTATTATATTTTTGAAACATTAGACATCAATTAGTATATTTGGAGAATGATAGCTCTCTTCACTCAAAATGTCAGGGACCATTTGATTAAAGTATACTCAGGAACCTAATTATAATTGTGCTACTCTCTTCCATTTTGGTACCAGTCTATAAGATCTGGTGATAAAGAACTACAATACTGACATCTTTGAGTAGAGGTGCCATCCTCCACATTTGGCGAAAGATGTGTGGCAATTATCGTCTTATCTGGCTAATGTGTTAGGACTGAACTGATTCTGTTCAACTCTACTGGGTTGTTTTTAGGAATACCTCAAGAAGTGACTTCAAATTTTATGCAGATAGACTGATTCGTTTGGTGATTGAAGACAGCTTAAACCAACTCCCATTTACTGATTGTAGTGTTGTGACACCAACTGGTGCCACTTATGATGGATTAAAGTATAAATCTGGTAATTGTGGGGTCTCAATAGTTAGATCTGGTGAATCTATGGAGCAAGGACTCAGGGATTGTTGTCGTAGCATAAGAATAGGGAAAATACTGGTAGAATCTGATGCTGATACTCATGAAGCTAAAGTTGTGTATGCTAGATTTCCTGAAGATATAGCTAATAGACATGTAAGTTAATATGAATCCATAAACTAATCTCTCTTGACATGAAGATGCAAATAACATACAGTCATGATTGTAACATATATGGAGAAAATAATTGATGGTTGAAAAGTCTGTACTTTTTTGGTTCAGGTTTTGTGCTATCATAGAAGAATAAAATAGTACTTTGTAATACTTGCTAACAACGCAATTACTATGTTTCCATCCAGGATAAAGGCTCAGTCATGTTTCAGCTAAAAAAAAATAATCTACATTTGATTTATAGGTAGAAAATTATTTTCTTTACTTTCTGGACTTGGCTGGGAGAATTGGTTTGATACATAAGATCAATTTAATTATCATATTAGAATGAATGACAATAGGAATTAATGTGTATGAATATGAATTTTTATCAATAAGTATAATTTTTACAGGTGCTTCTCATGTATCCTATAATGTCAACTGGTAACACTGTCAGCAAAGCAGTAAATGTACTGCTAGAGCATGGAGTAAAAGAAGAATGTATAATTTTGAGTAACTTATTTTGTACACCACAGGCTGTTCAAACTGTGCTTGATGTTTATCCTAAGGTAAGTGTATTTATTGGTTGATTATCCATCTATAAAATCAAAACTTGGATTAGTGTTCACAGATGGGAATGCAAAGAACATTGCTACTTTCTATTGCCGAGCTTCGCGTCGTGCGCTAAATTCCTTTCTCGATAAACAAAGTAGTACTTTGCACTGCTTATAAATAAATTCCTATTGATGTCTTAAAAAATAATAAAGCTCAAGCTAAATTACCTACCGTGCATGTTATTCTTTAAAACATTATGTCTATTTCTGTTCTAGATGAAAATATTGACCTCAGAAGTCCATCCTGTTGCACCAAACCATTTTGGGCAAAGATATTTTGGTACAGACTAAGACTGAATTTGATTATTTTTTAAACCAACCAACACTTAGTTATAAGCTGTATTATGTAATAGATGTTATTCTCTATATGGTATTTTGTTGTATGTATATTTATTAGAAAAATATATTCAAATATTCATAATTTAATTATTTTACAGTGAATGAAAATATATAACTGCATATTCATAAATGTTTAAGGCACTGAGACTGCAACTAGCAGCAGAGTCGCGAACTAGTTAGAAAATCTGACACTGAAATATTCACATAATTTAAAAACAATGTAAAACAATGAGACCTTGTATGACTTTACACATTATTGTCTTTCATATATTTTGAATTTGTATTATATTACTACGACTACACTAGTATAACTTTCAGGGTCAATGTTGACTGAGTAATCTATAGCTTTGTTATTTTACATGATATTTAAAAAAGTTACCCAGATTGTAGGCAACTGTATTTTCTTTACTTGGTAAACATGACATTCATTTTTTAATGGAAATACTATATATTTTAGCATATTCTGTAAGGCCTTGTCAAAGGAAGAAGTTTTCATACAGCAAATATAGCGTACTGTAGGATTTCAATCCCTACTTTTGGAGAAAAGCAGTAATCTTTCCTTAAAAGTAGGCTTCATATCCTATAGTTTTTAAATCATGTGCATCATCTATACAGGGTGTTTATAAACGTTTTTCTCAAAAATTCAAATGGAACAGCCTATATGTTTCTTTCGATTTTGGGTTATTATTATATGTCAATACCACATTATTCTTGGAAAAGGAAGATTTTTAGTGGATGTGGATTCAAGTCTTGTATCCATCCACTAAAAATTGTCCCTTGCTCCGAATCATGTGGTATGTATTCATCTTTAATTATAATTCCTAAAAGGCTGCCAATATCTCAAGAATTTAGTAATTCAACCACCAAAATAAAGGGTAACCCAAAACCCGAAAAAAAAAGTGTTAAATTTGATTTCCCTGAGAAAAAATATTATCTAGGGTATAAATGATTTAAAGCATTGGAAGAAACAAATGATGAGAAACTATGGGACATCAAGCTCATAATTTTGGCGTAGTGTAGCTTCAAAAGTGTATGACATACAAATTTGAGTGTTCTTTTGGTTAAAATGTCCCATAGCTCCAGAAGCAGTGATGCAAACTATAAACCAATGCTATACGAGACGTCTTTCTTTAACAAGGGCTTTTAGAATATACAAAGAATTTCGATTTGAGAATAGTATGTTTGTGTTGGCCTATGGCTATGAATTTTCCAAGCAAGGAGTGCATATTTGCCCATAAATTGTAAATAACTTTTTTGGTATATTTTATAATAGTGGAGCTATGGACTGATTTACACAAAAACCAACCCTGCCATACAGCTGTGATACCTCATAGTGGTCAAAAAAATCATCTGACTAGCATAGCCCTAGAAAGAGTAGAGTGCGGTCATGGATTACAAATTATATTATGTATGGCATCTTAACAGATAATGAATGTTCTTATTCATAGTTACATTGAGATAATCACAATCGGGATAGGAGATTTATTCTTATAAGTTGTAATACTGGTTGCATAGTGGTAGTAGGGTAAATACAGCAACCTGTTGAACAATGGGCTGTGATATGCCTCATTGTCAGATCTCCACGAAATCGGTTGACTATGAGAATTTTGATCTACCCTCATGATTCAAATTAAAAATATATTGCTATTGTGTTATTTTTCAAAGATATGTTTAGGGCTATCTTACGAAAATACGAACGTGCAGGCTAAAGAAGATTTGGTTTCAAGATGATAGGATACATAAAGCAGTGCAAAACCTTTCTTCAGATATCTTCTGGCATAATACCGCCCATTCCTTGGAGAAAAGCATGTCACCTCTGAAGAATATGAATGAGTAGTGGGATTTGTAACATTATATACTTGATTGTACCGCGTCACCATACGGACAACCTGTGAAAAATATTCGAAATATTTGAAGACTCATTTGCTTCATAACGTATGCAGTATATGTAGTTCATAATTAAAATTGGTTATACTTAATGAAGTATAATTATTTCGAATACCGCTATATCCACTTTCATCTCTGAACATATGCAATATTAAATTTATGGTATTTAGCTATTTCCAATACCTAGGCTGCCCTCTCTCTGACGTGGCAACACTGGTATAACAGCAAACCGGCTGGATGGGGGGGCGGTTGGCTCGTTCACCTTGTTGATAGTTACGGGAAATAGAACGAAGAACGAGAATCTGACAGAAAGTGAGCCTAGTTTTGGGTTCATGGCGTGGATAACAGGTTGTGCACGTCGCGAAAACAACACAATGCGTTGACAAAATGTGCTGCTTTTCGAAAGGACCGTACGTCTTGAAACGTAGACTAGTTCATATACGTTAAGCTTTATTTATTTGTGTGTACCTGTGTTCGTTTTTGTACCTGTCTCAGTTATGGGGACTAATCATGGGCATATTGTTCCTCTGTTGCTTATAGTTGGCTTTACTTTTGTTAAGGTATGTGTATTTGTTTTTATTATTTTTCACTCTTCGTTATCCATGGAGTCAGTTCTTGGCTGGGTTATCATTTCTAATACCAGATTTACTTTTTCCTTTTATTACCTTTTGCATGTAGTAGTTCAGTATACTGGGTTAATGCATATGAACAAGGGATTAATTAAGTCTTATAGGGCTTAGTCATAGCTATCTTTGTTTAGTTGTAATTTATTTGATCCACTACAATACTTGAATTCTAGGTACAAATCCAAACATACTGGATACCTTACCAAAACATAAGAAACACCTCTATCTTTTGCATTTTTGGAAACAATGTTCAAGTCTGAATTTCTGGGTATTCTTCCTTAAAGAGTGGTGAGCGCCAAGGAAGATAATTAAAATGTTCCTAAAAATATATAAAAGTGACAGGGGTTCGATATATGAATGATGAGATACTTAGTATTTACTGAATACCAATACATTTTGTTCTACTACATTCCTATAAGGAAAACTAAGCACATGTGCTTGATACCCTAATAGTTGCACATTTTTTTTTTTTAATTATCTTTTATAGACAGTTTTGTCATTGAACTAGTGTTGTGGAAACACTATGGCCAGATCTTGAATCATGATGCATGTTTAGGGATTATCAGAAGAGTGAAAGTGCTGTAGAAAATGATCTTTATTGGTCTGCTTTTATAAATACACCCAATATTAATAAGAGTAACCTGATAAATAAAAAAGTTTCTAAACTGTATCCAGTAACTAGCTAGAAGGTGAGGAACCAATGATCAAAATTGGAACACCAAAAGGCATTATTTTCCAAAGACGGTCTTTACATTCTATGAGCCCAATTATGAGTCAATGTGTATCATACAGAGGCATATCTATGATGACACAGACAATGAATCCTGTATCAAACCTCAGAAATAAGAGGTCCCACAACACTGGTTCTAGGAGTCTCAGATTAGCAAAAATTGCAAGGGCCCCTAGTGCAAGTTTTTGCTTTGGGCCCTGGTGACCGCAGAACCGCCACTGCTGGTAATACTATAATTTTTGTATTTCTTTTAATTGGTGGGAAGTTATTATTAATTAGATAACATTCAAAACATTCTAGTAGATGTATGCTCGATTGAACATAAAGAAAGCTTATATGTATAAGTTGAAAGATGGTTGACTAACTTGACAAAAAACTTATTGAGTTTGTCATGGTACAATGTTCATATCCTGAAACTCAAATGTGCCTATAGATGTACAGCATCTTCATCGTGGTGGCCAACTTATTGCTAGGCCATTAACAAAAGATCTTCCATTTTCCATAAACAACTGTTATGTCAGAAGCCTGCCCTTTGGTTTGAAATTAAGTATTTACAGGAGCACTACATCAGAACTGTAGGTTTATGGGAGTAAATGATGTACCTGTATTATGGGATTTAGAAATATATTAAGGCTATTTTACGTTAATAAATAGTACATGTATGATGCAGTATTTAAATGTTCTGCTAACATACTGAGATGGAACGTGCAAATACCTACTGCTGCGAACTATTTTACAGCATCAAAAAATTAATGAATTTAGGTTGGGGTGCTATAAATAAATGATTAGTGTTTTAAGCGCCGGACCAGAGGCAAAGGTATCGTTAAACGACTCGCTCTACCGCACATGTTTCTGCCGAGAGTAGTAAGCTATTTTTAATTTTGTAAACCGTCAAAAATTTATTACCTTCTTGCTTAACCTTAGTGTGAATGATATCCGGATGTACGGTAATTTGTTGTCCATTATCCAAAGCAAATAAGAGAGTGTATTTATAATTTTGTTTTTTATTTTATATATACACAATAGCAGTCGGAAAATTTGGAAGGAAGAAAGTAAAAATAATTTTCTTGTCACTGAAAAAACGTCTAAATGATAGAAACTAAATTTAGGTTTTTACCTGTTGTTTTGCTTCCCACGCCACTGACGAAGAAGTATTGCAATCTGGAAGAAATTTGAAAAAGAGATATTACATTTTCTGGATATTATATGACATCTACATTACCCAAAACATCATCATTTCCTTCAGTCTGTCCGCATATCTTTGCTTCGTCTATATCTTGGAGAATACCGCTGCTCGGATTTTGATGAAATTTTCACATACAGTTACTACTATACCAAGGACGAAAAAGTCTTGCAAGTTTTACCTCCCCCGCCTCCTGGCGAGAAAATTTTATAGTTGCGAAAACATTCGAAATTGAGATATGTTTTTTAGATCTTATATGACATGTACAACACGAAAAATCATGTCACTCATTTCCTGTTGGTACGTTCATTTGTCTGCTAATCCTATAACCGCCTATAACTTGAGAAGTACCACTTGAGTTTTGATGCAATTTTTGCACAATTTTACTGCATTTTATAAGGGCGAAAAAACTTTGTAGTTTTTAAAAATCGGTCCAATGGTGGCGAAGAAAAAGGGCAAAAACAAAAAAGGACAAACATCGCTCAAACTTCACTTTCTGATGTTTCACAGGATCCTGATCATTTTTTAAAAATCGTTAGAGGTAAAAAATTTGAGGGTGGTGCTCCCAGCCTTGGTAATTGTACCCATCTATCAGACAAATTCCAGAAATCATAGATTTCTCCGTACATTAGCCCTTAAAACTTGGAAAAACATTAGCAGACCTACCGGCCGCATGTGGTCCTGCTCCCGGCGGCGTGCCGTTGGACTGGGTAAGTGCTCTGGTATTATACGTATTACAGCCGCGCCACAGCATAGTGTTTGTTTCCTATGCTGTGGCTGCGCTGCCATATCTGTCCGAGTT